AAAAAGAAATTATAAACCAAATGGCATCACTGTTGGTCTTAACATGATGTAGGACACACTTACACAAAATGTCTTCACGCACTAAATGTCTGCAGTGGTATGCCTTCTAAGAATAAGGGGTTTTTTTAAGAGGATTCGGTGTTAATTTAATAAAAGCGCTTAGGTCAGTGTTTTGGTAAAAGCTAGGTTGACTACCCTTAATTAAAAATTAAAGCGTCACTCCGTTGTTACTGTATTACAAGCAGATGACAGCGCTGAATAATGAGATGGACGATTCTTTCAGATTTTCCTGCTAGAAATAACTTAAAGGATTTAAAAATCCTCTTGTTTTCGAGAGATAACATGGGAGGAGTTGCAAAGAAAACTCAGCACGTTCCGTCAGCTGGTTTTTGGATGCTTCTTCCGAAGACGCTGAGGTACGCCTGCCTTTCGCGCCAGCGCCGAGCTGCATCCTGCTGACAACTGCCGCGTACACAACAAACAAGCGCTCGCAAAACTAGCCCTGGGGCAACGGGACTGCAGCAGCGGTGACCTCTCCAGGGCAGGGTGTTTGTGAACATCTGTTGTTGGCAAATGTCATAATTAGAATTTCACTGTATTGCCTACAGGTTAGTTCTGAGATCTTCAGGAGCTTACTCATTTATGGAAAAGAATGCCAAACCAAGTGGCTTAGCCACTCTCTTGTTAGAAAACAACTTTTTGGCTTAAACAATGTTTGGGAAAAACCCCATGGTATTGTAGAGGGGTTACCTCTGGTAGCAAGGGGGAGTGATTGTTTGCTTTGCTTTGCTTTGCTTTGGAGCTCCAGCGGTTGCTGTGAAGAGCAGTGGATGCAGAGCTGTCGTCAGTAGGTCATGCGGGACCTCCCGTTGAAGCTTTTGGCTAACGTGCCCTTCAGCACACAGCGCTGCCTTGGCTTTCCCGGGCATCTCCGGAACGTGGTGACGGTGCTCGTGTCAAGAAGGCTTTGCACGTCGGTTCTGGAGGAAGCGAAGCTTGGAGGCACTTTTCTCTCGGGTGTGGAGGGTCTCTGAATCTCACCTGGGGAGAACAGCGTTCAACTGAAAAGTCGAAACGGTTGAGATGCAGAATCTCGGCTTTGCTATCCTTGCGTTTCTCTCTGGAGCGGTAAGGGTCGTCTAAGTACTGGGACACATACCAGTCTCTGAAAGAATAACCGTTCCTGGTTCCAAACTAGCGCACAGGTAAATAGCTAATTTTACTTTAAGCAGCAGAAAATACGCTTTGACAGTTGGGAACGGTGCTGTAGTAAGAGCTGATCTGGCTACAGCGCCTTTATAATGGGGGTGTGGGTGTGGAGGAACAGCAACCACTTTATCAGACATCAAGAAACAAAGCGAATTGCATATAAAGCACAGGATTTTAATGTAATTGTCTGGGGGAAAGTGTGCACATGTGAGTCGGAGGGCTTAAAAAAAAAAAAAAAAAAGAAGAAAAAGCTGTTCCTGAGTATAAAAACTATTGTACTGTGACCCCATCTCTACCAAACTGTGGCAGTATTATTCTCCACAGATGATAAATTTCTGAGCCGGTAAGTCACTCTTCATTTCTTTCAAATCTAGACCTCTGCAGATCTCTGCTGCTTGGACTATGAAATACTCTAGGACTCCACGCTGTAGATCACATCAGTCTGAAGCCAGTGGGTTTTTCTAGCTGTGTAGTTAATCAGGAACTGGTTATTTCCCAGTCCTCTTCCTGCAAATACATTACACAGGCACTCCGAGTTCCTTTTGGACAGCTGAGAGTTGAGTAATAGCAAGGGGTTTCTCGCATCGGAATAATGATGAGGGGAAAATGGATGAGAGTTTCCGAGAAAGGGTGAAAATGTTATCTTGAACACAGTGGTCCAAATCCTGCAATGCGCTGAGCGTAGCCTTAGCGCGCTCCGACGTGATGAGCGTTGGGAGTTTCAGCAAAGTGCCGAGCAGCTCTTGGAGTTGGGGCTTAGTACACAATTGATACTTAGATGTTTGTTCTTTTTAGCAATTGCACCTGTTCCCACATCATTTATTTTGCCGATTGGCTTCTCTGGATTGCTTTTGGTCTGGACAAATAAGTCACAAACCTGGGAAGAGGCAAGCTTGCAAAATTTGAACAGCCAGACCTCCCGTAGACCAAAGCTAATATTGGCTAACGGCGTCGATGGCGCTGCGCTCGTGTGATGAACGCGCACCCTGTGTTAGCCAGGGAGGAGCAGTCTGTGCCGGGTACCACCTCACTGACGGCAAGAACAAACTGATGGAGGATCCAGAAGTAGCTAAGGAAACCCTCTTGGTCCTGCGGTCCTTCTGCAATAAAAGAATAAATCCTACCGCACGGAGCCGGGTACGTCAGGGCTTCATTTGTACGCAGAGGGCGCGTGTTTGAGGGTAGTGTTTCTGGTTTGTGCTGGGTTTCTTCTCCTGTAAAGCCAAGGCTTGCCGTGTCCTGTGGGTCAGGCAGCCCCAAATCAAGCCCCACCGTAGAGAGGGATGTCTCCAGCACAGCTCTCTTCCGAAAGCCTTCGGCTTGGATCGTTTCCAGTATTGCTCTGGAATCTGCGCTGCATTCTGCTGTCCAGAGAAGCAGCTGCTGTAGTGCAGCTTCTCGCTGTTCTTTGTCTTTTTGCTGTCTCGTGCTCCCTCTGCACACGAGATGCACATTCTCTCAGCACTGCGTTAAAACGTTAAGGTTGGAGGTAAACCTCATAAGGTCATTTTATCCATTCCCTGACACTACTGCAGCGTAAATGTTGATGCATTTATTTAATGATTTGCCTGCCGCTTCTGACAGATGGTTGTTTAGTCTTACGCATCTTGCGTGATGGAGCATCCCCAACTTTTCTTGACATGTTGCTCAGTTGTTTTGCTGTTCTTTTCTGCAGTTTATTCTGGGCATTGTTTGCTTAGTTGAACCGGAGTTACTGTTTGTTTCTTCATCGGTGCTTTATCATGTTACTGTTTCTGTACGCTTCGCATAACTTTTTTTTCTTGGAGGTGAAGACTGATTGCGCTGTATCGTCTCGGCTGTGGTAGAGGGAGAAGTTTGGGGAGGGGAGGTGGCACCTTTGAGGCCATTGATCCCATCTTTATAACTTTGCCCTTTTAGCTGGGAACAGATTATTTGCGCAGTGGTTCGAGATTGCACAGGCAGAATCAGAAGGACCAAACTTTACATAAACCATTTATACTAAACGTTGGGAATGCTGGCAACATAAATCAACTACAGTATCTAATACGAATTTATCACTTTATCAGTATTATCTTTGATAGAAGTGGTTCAAACACTTGGGGAAGTGAACCGTACCTCAGGAAGTTTAGCCCTCTCGTAAATTAATTATTCAGGACACACAGAGCCTGGCCCCTTCAATGTATAGTAATTCTTTCTAGCCAGCGTCCAGGACTTTAACTTCGGTGGCAATAATAAATAGGAAAAGTCTCAGGTGGAGCCAGTATTTCAAAGTAATTAATCATCTTCCCCTCATGGTCCCTCCGCCTCTCTCTTGGTTTTCTTTAACGAGGGAATTTCAGTAATAAATCTTTAAAGATATATGTTAAGAATCCTTCATTAATTCTTGTCTACTTATTTCTCTCTTTTTGATGCTTTTATGTTGTATGTTGGGAAGCTAAAACGCATACACAAGAAAACACAGTTACAGAACGCTGATGGTTTGGCACAGTCTCTGCGAGGTTGTTTCGTGGGTGTTGAGTGTTGTGCGACGCATCCGCTCATAGGAACTGTTGTTGGTACTGGTGGGACTGTCGCACGGATGCTTAGGTACAGGTGCGGAGTTACAGCACGCTCGCACGGGGAAAGGTAGAGGAAGACGCGGCGTGTGCTCTGCTAGCCGGGAGGCGGTGGAGCGCTGCCTCGCGGTTCCGTAGCGTGCGGGGCGCTGCGTGGTCCCGGCGCTGCCGGTGCCCGCGCGGGGAAGGCGG